CCCTATCTATGGAGGAAAGAAAGTAGGAGGGAAGGAATCTGGAGCTGAAAATAAAATTGAAATAAAAAAAAGAAACATGGAAAGACTTGTGTAAATTGATAAAGTGAAGTCAACATAAGGAGAATGATACACAAAATGACTACAATAACATAAACAAAGAAAAATAACACTAATACAAAGCTAAATTCTTCAGTAATTGTAATGATAATCTTGGCCATGGAAAAGAGATGAGGAAGCTAATCTCCCCCTCCTTTTAATAAAGAGGTGGTGGACTGAGGATGTAAACGTTCCATATACCGTTAGATATGGTCGCTGTGTCAGGTTTTTGCTTAACTAGCAATACCAGATCTCAAACTATACTACAAAGCTGTAACTGTCAAAACAATTTGGTATTGGATGAGAAATGGAGAGTTTAATCAGTGGAATAGTACATGAAATAGAGAAGCAAATCAGCATAGTAACCTAATGTTTGATAAACCAAAGATCCCTGCTATTGGTGCAAGAACTCACAATTCAACAAAGACTAATTAGGAAAACTGGAAAATAGTTTGGCAGAATTAGGTTTAGACCAGTATCTTACACTGTATATACCAAGATAAGTTCCAAATGGATACATGATTTAGACATGGGTGACAACTGAAGCAAATTAGAAGAACAAGGAAGAAATTAGTTGTCACATCTATGGCCAAGGAAAGAGTTCATGACCAACAGGAAACAGTTTTTCAGGAGGTAAAATGGACAGTTTTGCAATAGCTTCTTGGTAGGTCTGCCTGCCATAAACTCTAGTGGCTTTCTGTCACTTCTAGGATTAAATCCAAAATCCTGTTTTAAATTCTAAACCCTTCATAACCTAGCCCTCTCCCACCTTTCCAGTCTTCTTACAATTTCCTCTTCACCACATTCTCTCTGATCCAGTGACATTAGCTTCTTTGCTGTTCCTTGATCAAGAAACTCCATCTCTCAGTGCTGGGCATTTTCACTTTTTCCCCATGCCTGGAATGCCCTTCCTCCCCATCTCTGCCTCAGTTGATTATTTCCAATTTACCCTGTATGTAGCTTGTTTCTACATAGTTGTTTGCATTAGATTGTGAGCTCCCTGAGCACAGACTGTCTTTTGTGCCTCTCTGTATATCGAGCACTAGCACAGCGTCTGGTACACAGCAGGCACTCAATAAATGCTTATTGACTGACTTATTTACTATTTTTATATACCCACCATTTAGTACAGTGCATAGGACATATTAGGCACTTAAAAAATACATGCTTACTGGATGATCCCTCTGTTCTCTTTTTAGCCTTGAATTTAAATATCTTTTTAACAGTAGTCTTTATCTCTCCCTATAAGCATGAATTTTGCTTACTCTTTCTTGATAATTGAGAATGAAATGTGACAAGAAAAGGCGTATTCTGTAGAGAGTAGATGGATAATATCTAGAAATGAAGTAAAAAACAAACTGCATTAATAGAAATTACTAACAAAATTCCACAAAGGAAGAATTATAGTAGATTTCCACTATTTTCAAAGGGAACAAAATCCAAGAAAGGAGCCATTAATAGAATCTACGGCCTCAGATATTTATATTCAAATTCACAAAAATATTGGTAACCAACCAGGTAAACTACAGATGCTAATGTAAAGAGGCAAATTTGATCTCATAGATATCAGATACTTGATGGGCAGAACTCAAAACTGGAATTTAAGTCTGGAAAGATATAACTTATTAAAAAGGCACATAAAAGATGAAGGAAAAGGAATCTGGTAAACATTGCACAATAATAAAACATACTCACATAAGAAAATACAGGAATCAAAATGGAGAAACATAAAGGGAAAGTATTTATGCAAAAAATCAGACTATAAACCTGGGAAAAAAGTATGACGTAGTAGCAGCAGCAGGGTATTTCAATTATGAATCATCTTTGAATTTCCAAATCTAATGGCATTTTCTCAATCCTCATCCTTCCTGAACTATCTGTAGCTCCTAACACTTCTACCTACTTGTCCGACCAGTCCTTCTCAGTCTCCACTGTTTGGGTCCCCTTCTCCTATGTCATGTCCATTAGCTTCAAGTGTTTCCCAAGGCTCTGCCCTTGGTCCACCTCTCTTTCTTTATGCTATTTCATTGGGTTATCTCATCGGTTCCCATTATCACCTCTTTGCTTATAATTCCTAAATCTACAGAGGGAGAGGGAGCCCCTGTCTCTCTTCGGAGTTCTAATCCTATATCATCATTGCATGTTGGATATTTTAAACTATATGTCCCAAAGACATCTTAAACTCATTATGTTCACTCATTATCTTTCTCCCATCCCCTTTCCTCTTCTAAACTTTACTATTTCTGTTGAGGCATTAACTTCTCAGTTACTCAGGTTGGTATCATCCTTGATTTTCCCATATGGCTAATCAGTTGCCAAATCTTGTCATTTCTACCTTCACAACAACTTTTGTAAAACCCCTTGTTTCCACTCACACAGCCACCATTCATGCCCACATCACTCTTCATCTGGGCTATTCCAATGGCATTCTAATTGCTCTCCCCATTCAAATCTATCCTTTACATAGCTGCCAAAAAAATTCTAGAGCATAGGTTTGACCACATTACCAAGCCTAAACAGAAATCCCTTGTTTGGCATTTAAAATTGTTTACAACCTGACTCCTTCCTACCTTTGTAGTAGTCTTATACTTTACTTGCCTTAGTGCAGTGTAAGATCTTGCCATACTGAACTATATGCTGATCCTCACACATCTCTCCTGTTTCCATGTTTTTGTACTGGCTATGCTTTGTGTCTGAGATGTCCTGCTTCAATTTTGCCTCTTGGAATCCCAGGCTTCTTTCAAGACTGAGTTCAAATCCCACCTTCTATAGGAGGCCTTTCCTACTACCCACAGCTGCATTAATACATACTGTTGTCTCCCCTATTAGACCGGAATCCTTGAAGTATGTTTTTGCTTTCTCTTTGGATTCTCAGTGCTTAGCACACAGTGTTTAACAGATTAATGAATGAAAAAAGCATTTAATGTGCCATGTATTGCGCCAAACACTGGAAATACACAAATCAGAGTGCTTGCTCTCGAAGGAGGGAAAAGCTGGGGTGAGTGGCTCAGCACAACAGGAGAGATAGAAAAACAGGCCAGATGAAGAGCTGGATGGCACATGAAGCATGGTGTGAGCAGAAGCCAACTAAATATAGTGGGACAAGTGAGTTTGTATTTATTCACCAATCAAGACAACTCAGGCCCAAGATGAGAGCTCCAGTACCGCAATTAATTCTTCCAGGGACTGAAGATATGGTTTTTGAAGGTCCAGTGAAGAAAGTGCTGTTCCACATTGAGGGAGGCAGATCCCTGGTAGTGAAGCAGTAAGATGGCTCTGGTGGATGGCTGGATGGGATATACATATCTGCTGGAATACTTTCTCTGCTGAAAACTGAGCAGCGAATACATTCTTGGCATGCCTTAATATTAACTTACAAAAAGCAAAAAAAGGATCAAGGGAACTGTCATTCTGGATCTGATTCAGATTAATAAAGAAGAGCTGTATAATGGGAATTTTGGAGGAAAGTCACCACTCAATCTTACAATTTCTTCTCAAAAAAGAAAGCCAGGTGTAGTGAGATCCGTACACTGTAGATCAGCAAGCACAGAAGACAAGAAGAATTTTACAGTAATCTGCAAAATATAGCTTTCAACAGTGAACAAGTGGGTAGATCCAACCCATGGATTAAAATTCTGTAGAGAAAATTAACACAAGTAGGAGGGAAAGCTCTCAAGAATGAAAATACTGAAAGCACAAACCTAACTAGTTTGAGCAAGAAAGAAAGGGAACTGTCTAAAGAGATTCATTTGGAGCTATTTAGATTTTTAAAAGCTATATACAGAAGGTAGCAAAGCATGGACATATATAAACTGAGGATGAGTATAAAAGTTGGGCACAAACTGGTAAGACGAGTATCTGGGGCACTAAAGTTCAAAATGAGCAGAAGCTAGTGAGGAAAGCTAAAGACATAGAAAAATGTTCAGGAAAAATAAAGAGAAAGAATGAAGAAGGGACATAAACATCAGGGAGAGGACATGGGGATAGTAAAGGACAAAGGGCACAAGGAAAAGTCTTACCCAACTCTCTTAATGCTTTTTTCCTCTGCCAAGAATGTACACTGGACCAGAAAGAGGGGAAGAAAAAAAAAGGCTAATAGAGTTGAACCTAAGATGAATAAGACAGTAAAAGAGCACCTAACTACACTTGGTAAATTTAAGTACTCAGGCTCAGAGGCACTCAAACGCAGGATAATAAAAGAATTGACAAGATGGAGAAGTATGGCCTAGATAAATAGGTGGATTCAGGATAGGTTAAATGATTATGTCATGACGTGATAGGACCAGGGTTGCCTGGTTCTCCTGACAGGTAGTGGTTTTCCCTAAAAGCTAACAAAGTTGTCTCTGAGACCTGATTGACACTGTCTCCCTTGACACAGCTTCCTGGTCACCTAAGGGTATAAAAAGTCCTACCCAGAATGAAGTTGGGGCTCTTCAAACTTGATAGATATCAAAAGGCTGATGAGCAAGTCACTACACCCTGCTGGGCTGACCCGCCACATTTCCACTAGAGGGTGGAGGTGGGTTTGAGATGAGGGAGGATGTCTATAAAAGCTAGTATTATGAGTGAGGTTTGATCTCAACTTATTTGAAGACTTATAGAGGTGCACCCCAGGAATCTGACCTTGGCCCAGTGCTGTTCTAATCTAATAAAATGACCTTTTTAACAGGAATAAATATCAATTCATACATTTAAGGTTCATTCAAAAAAATCAACTTTCGACATACAAGATTTGGGAGATGTGGCTTTCTAGCAGTTTACCTGTCTTAAATAAAACTGCCAAAATTTTTCTTCCCTAATAAATAAAACATTAGGGTACGTTACCTGAACAAATCTGACTTTGTCACTTTGTTGTAATTTTCCTTACAACAAAACATTTGCGCAACCAATCTCAAAGTTCTTACCTTTGACCTATACATTTTGGTTAATTTTAGTCTTCGAAGAAGCTCCTCCTTCTCTTGAACTTGTTTCAACAATTTCATCTTTTCTTCAAGCAATTCTTGTTTACCAACGTTATATCCCTCTGAAACCATCTGGGGGAGATTATCTGGCACAGTACTTACAAGAGGCTTGCTTCTATATACATCAACATCCTTTAAGCAGTCTTTCAAAGATAGGCTTTCTTCAGATGTTTTTTCTATGTTTTTAAAGTTTTCTGGAAATGCAGAACAGCTTCCACCAGTGGAAGATGTTGCTTCCTTTGAAGTGGTGGAGTTACTTTCAGTATCCACTTTAAGACGCTTTGCCATGGCATGACAGGAATTAAATGAACTTCTTGTTTTCTTTAACCGTTCTCTAAGTGTGGCACTCATCAGCTAAAGAAGGAACAAAAAAACTAACATTAAAACTTTTTAAAATGTAAATAAAGCAGCCACTCAAACAATACCCTACTTATGTGGCAAATAGCACTAGATGCCAGATGCATTCTGTCTCTCTACACCCTATTACACTGCAGCTATCCCTATTAATCCAAAGAAAGAAACCTTAACATCTACCTAATGGGAGGGCACACTGTCTCCCATTAAAGGGTTACAGAGTAAGATGTAAAGATAAATTGTAGTACCCTTTTTGGTGATTCACAAAACTGATTCACGAAAGCACTCAAAAAAAAAAAAATCACAGAATCTGAGTTGAAAGGAACCATAGTAATTCAACATATAACCCTAGTAGTTCAACATATGACACGGAAGTACCTCTGTGACATCACCAAAAGTACTTATCTAGTTTCCAAAAAATAATAATTGATAATTTTTAGTTAAGTGTGAGAAGCAGTATGTTTAAGAAAGCTGTCATGAGGGGGAAGCTAGGTGGTGCCGTGGATAGCGCACTGGCCTTAGAGTCAGGAGAACCTGAGTTCAAATCCGACCTCAGACACTTGACACTTACTAGCTGTGTGACCCTGGGCAAGTCACTTAAGCTCAACTGCCTAAAAATAAAAAAAAATTTTCAAAAAAGGTATCATGATATGATAAGAAAAGCACTAGGTTTGAATCTTGTTTATTGTAATATTAATTGCAACAGGCAACTGCAATTTGCATTTTATTGCAAAATAGGCAATATTAATCTTGGACAAATCCTTTAACTTCTCAAAGCTGAAGTTTCTCCTTCTAGGACCAAACGATTTCTAAGGCCTCTTCTACCTTTAAATCTACTTTACACATTATGCTATATAACAGAAACTTTTAGTGAACCATTCAAACATTTAATGAACATGTATTTTGCTTTAATATTGTGGTATGCTGGACATGCAGTAATGAGAATCCCCAGTTCAAATCTAGCTTCTAACATTTAATAGCTGAAGGACCATGGGTAAATTGATAACACTTCTAGAAACACAGTGTTGTTTGAAGGAATGAAACAGAAAACAATTCAAGAATCATTTGTTAAGCACCTAAGTAGCTTGAAAAAGTCCCTACCCTCAAGGAGTATACATTCTACTCCAATACAGTGAAAGCACTCTGCAAATCTTAAAATGCTGTATATAGAATCTTAATCTTATCTATAGATAAAATCTTCAGAGAGATAGAACTCTCTCCTCGTTCTCCTTCTACCTATCATACTGCTTCTTCTCTGCTTCCTTTGCTGAATCCTTATTTATCCAGGTCATGCCTCTAATTCTATTTGTCCCACAAGTTTCCATCCCAGACCTTTTTCTCTTCTTCTATACAGCTTCCACTTGGTGATCTCATCTGTTCCCATGGATTTACTTACCATGTCTATCCTGATGATTCGCAAGTCTACCTATCCTGCCCCACTCTCTCCAATCTTTCATTTCCATTTGCCTTTCTGAAATTTTGAAGTGAATGTCTCATAGACCTCTTAAACATGTCCAAAACTGAATTCATTATCTTTCCCCCAAATCCTTCTCCCCAACTTTTCTATTACTGCAGAGGTCAACATCATTCTACCAGTCTTCAGGTTAGCAACCTGGGTGCTATCCTCAATTCCTCACTACCTCTCACACCCTCCCCATATCTAATCTATTGCCAAGATATTGATTTCACCTTCGAAACATCTCTCTGATGCCACCCTTTGTCCTTTGACATTGCTACCATTCTAATGCAGGTGCCCATCACCTCAAACCTAGACTATTCCAATAGCCTGCTGGCGGATCTCACTACTCCAATCCATCCTCCATTTAGTCACCAAAGTGATTTTTCTAGAGTGCAGATCTTATCATGTCACTTACCTCCTGAATAAACTCCATCAGCTCTCTATTGAATCTAGAACCAACTACAAAATCCTGTTTGGCATTCAAAGCCCTTCATAATCTAGCCCCTACCTACCTTTCCAATTTTGTTACACCTTACTCCCCACCACATTCTTTTTGATCCAAACACTGGGTCTCCTGGTTATTCCACAAACAAGCTGCTCTGGGCACTTTCTCTGGCTGTCTCACATACTTGGAATACTCTCCCTCATCAATTCCATCTACTGGCTTCCTTTTAAGCCCCTACTACAGGAAGGCATTAATTCTAGTGCCTTCCCTCTGTTAATTATTTCCTATTTATCCTGGATGAAGCTTCCTTGTACAAATTTGTTTGTCATTCCCATTAGATTGTGCTCTCTTTGAGGGCAGAAACTGTCTTTAGTATCTTTTTGTATCCCCAGGTCTTGGCACAGTGCTGAGCACCTAATAGGTGCTTATTGTTTGTTGACTGACTAAACACACATATATATACATACACACACACTCTCTCTCTCAGCAGTCATAATTATTAAGTACAGAGTAAGAGCTTTTTACTGAACTGAAAGCACTTCACTACACACTGAAAAGACAAAGATAAGGCATTTTAAGACTATAGCTGAAGTTGAATGTAGTCCTTGACTGAATGGATCACCAAAAGTTTCTGTTATATAGCATAATGTATAAAGTAGATCATAGGATTTAAAAGATTTTAGAAATCATTTAGTACAACTCTATTTTACTTTAGCTCTGAGAAGTTAAAGAATTGCCCAGGTGGGTGGGGGGAGGTGAGTATATAGCACCTATGTATAAAGTATTTCATTAAGTACTTTACAAATATTATCTCATTTGATCCTCACAACAACTTGGGAAGTAGGTGCTGCTATAATCTCCTTTTACAGTTGAACAAATTGAGTCACAGTTTAAGTGACTTGCTCAGGGTCACTAAGCTACTAAGTGTCCGGGATTGGATTTGAAGTCAGGTCTTCCTGATTTTGGGTCTACCCCTCTATATCCACTGGACCACCTAGCTGCCTCCTATTTCTAAAAAGCTTATAATATAAAGGGGGGTGGGGGAAGGGAGAAAAGATTATTATAAATAACACAAGAAAAGGTATAAATGCACAGGATTGGTCCATGAAAAATGATTTAAGAAATCAGAGGAGAGCCAGAGGTTGGGGACCCTGAGGGTACCTCTATGAGGAAAGGTCTCTTGGAGGAAACGACAAGAGCTGGTTCTTGAAGAAAGGGATGGGTTTCAACAACTTTTCCAAGTAGAGATGATGGTGTGAGGAAAGGCAAGGCACATGGAAGGCACATACAAGGAAGCACTGGTTTTGGAGTCCAAAGACCTGAAATCAAATCCAGCCTCTGGTGCTTACTACCTGGGCAACCTCAGGCAAGTCCTTCCAATGAACCTTTTTCCTTCTCCATAAAACAAGTCACTTGTAGACACGCTCTCACAAGGGGAGCAGCACAAGACCGGACCGGCAGAGCCCCGGGAATGCCAGGCCTGGGCATGCAAGGAGGCAGGGAGAAGGCAGTCTTCGAAGCCTCCAAGCACTAGCAGAACTTAAGGCACGAGGCCCCAGAGGTCCAGCGTGAAGTCTAGCGATGGTTTTCATACCTGTTTCCCTGAACTATTACTCTGGGAAAGTATTACAGTCTCACGGGCCTTGGGAGTAGCAGGTGAGGATGAAGTTTTATCTGATGGAATTTCCATCTTGAAAACAGAATGTTTGCTCTAGAAACAAAACAGAAAACATTGTGTTAAAAACTCCACCAAAGTCTCCCTCCCCTTGGTCCCATTAAAGGGTCTGTCCCTAGCAGTAATAACTAATTAGCAGGACTATTACTACGAGGGCCTCCTGGGGGCAGAGCCCAGGTCGAAGAGGCTTCCGGGGCGCGCCTCCCAAACAATCCTCATCCGCCTTTCAGACCGTCCAGCCTCCAGCGCCGCCACACCCCTGGCCGCACCCAGCTCCCTAGGCAAGGCCAGGAAGTCCACGTGAGGGCCCGGCCCCGGGGGGAGGCGGCTCCGGCTGCCGGCTTTGGGAGGGACTCGGGCCACGGCTCGGGTACCGGGTTCGTTTCTACTCCGGGGCCGGGGCTGCGCGTTCCCCTCCGACCCAACACCGCACCTGAGGCGGCGCTTCTGAGGAGCTCAGGACGCCCAGAAGAAGGCGACCTGCCCCACCCCCCTTCCGCCTCCACTCGGGCTCTAGACAGAGAAGGCGGGCTCGCTGTGCGCACGCATGCTGAGGTGGAGATCACAGTCCATCCGCACCCACGCCCCGCCCCTTCCTGGCGCGGCGGGAAGGAGGAGCACACTCGGAACGAGACGCCATTGGTTCGCTGGGCGGAAAAGGCGGGGCAAGGAGAAGGGGGAGGGACGCGACCTGATTTTAGCTAACTTCGTATGAGATACATAAAATGCTTCCACCGGAGGTGGAGGCTAAGGGGCTGTTATTTCATTGCAGCCACATCATCCCCGTGCCCCGCCACCCTCTAAGGGGCAGCCACTCAAGGACGTCTGGGCCCCGAGTCTTAGGAAATGTAGCCCAAATTTGCGTTTCCGCCATCTCCTCTGCCTCGAGTCCAGCTTCCGTGACAGAATAGATCGAGGTCATCTCTTTTCAACCGCCCAATTGCTGACTAGAAAACTGAGGCGATGAGCGACCTTCCGAGGTTCTAGAGGTCGTTAGAATCAAAGGCAGGATTTGAACCTAGAACTTCTGCCTTAGAGGGTCATAAAACCTCCATGTCTTCCTGACCCCAGTCATCCTGAATTCTCCCTCTTCTCTCCCACCCAGAGACCCCGCCCTATGTCAGATCCCCGTGACTTGGACTCCCCTCAGCAATCCCTACTCCACGAGACACCCAAAGGGAATTTCCTAAATCTCTGCGATCAAGGTGCCCTTCCTCCACAAACTGCTGTGGCTCCCTAGAGCTTGGACAAAAGTCCATGGGGTCATATAAAGTCGGACAAGATGGAACAAGTAGGGGTGGGGTGAGAGGAGAAAGCAAGTCCTCTCCCCACCCTTTGGCCAGAATGACATTGCTAACTTTCACAGGTCCAAAAATTTGGATTTCTCCTGGGCATCCTCCAGCATCCCTGGACCAGCAGGGCCTGGTAGTCCAGCCTGCCTGCAGCAGGGATTGGGGCTATTCAGCTTCAGGGCTCTGCTAGGGGAGCAGTAGAAAGCTTCATCATACTGAAGTGTACAAGTGAGTTTGTAAATGAATATGCTCACTGCCTCGACTTGCTTGAGCTCCCCAATTATCCGGGTAACCAAGAAGACCTGTATGAGGACTGACTGTATTAACACAAATAGAAAGTGGCTTGGCCTACCAGCAATACTTTGTGGCGACCTCGAGTCACCACCAGGGAGTTGGATGTGCAGAAAATCAGCAACTCTGAAGCCAGTTAAGCTCATACCAGCCTTGAAGCAGACCCTGAGCCATTTTAGTGTTTATGGGCCTTCAAGATACATCCTCATCTTCAGAGATTCCCCTGCCTGTTGTTTATGGGGCTCTGGGACACATCCTGTTTCTGTTTTTTGGAGACATCTACTTATCTTCTTATTTATGCTCCAGCCTTGAACTGTCAGGATTGCTTAGCACCAAGAATGTCTTCTGATTTATGTCTCAAAAGTCCACAGCCCTGACAACTGGAATTCCTCACTCTGCCCCAACTCCCCCTTGGGAATGGGACCCTCTGCTTCTTTCCTTCCTGGGACCAGCCTAATTCCTGCCTTTCCCCCCAGTTCTATATATCACTCTCACTGACTACATAGTTGAGCTGTTCAACATTAAGCTCAATGCTCCTATGCAGTGGCCTTATTTCCCTGCTTAATAACAATCTTCAATATCACAGACATTGTCTTTCTTTGGTTTTCTTCCCTTTAGGGAAAAGGGGGATTTGAATCTCAAAAATTGACATTTGCATTCTCAGCCTTGGCATTTAGGGGAAAGAGAGATCTAAATTCACTAGAGAGAGTGTGCCTCAGTTTACAAAAGGGAGCTTCATGAGGACCCTACAAAAGGGAGAAAAGGATTTGCCGAAACCAGATCCTGGAAGTTACCCCTTTGCCACATGTGATCTCCAATCTAAGCCCACTTTTCCCTGGACTTTTTATATACTTGTGAAAGAGGGTACAATACTCCCAGTTGGGGAGATGGAAAGAGATGTTTTGCAGTATTCTTAGTATACTATGATACTTCTTTCTAAAGGTTAAGTGTGGCTAGCTAATTGATAACAACTGATAATCAGTTGGGAGCTCCTGAGCAATAGCATTAGAAAGATACCCCCAGTCACTCAGCTTTACACCTAGAACCCTTAGGAAAGAAGTAGGCAGCCACCCTCTGGGGGTTTGCAGGTTTCCAGGCTGCCAGACGAAATAGGGGTTTGAGATAGTAGATACTGAGGCTGCACTGACAAAACAGAATAGCTGTTTTAATCCTCACTTTATAGGTGACAAAGTTGAGGGCCTGGGTCCAGATCTTGGCTCTACTGTTTCCTTTCTTTGTGAACATGGACAAATTACATCATCTCTCAGGCCCTCTGATTACAAATCCATAGATATTACTGCAATAAACTGTAACATATCATTCAACTATACCCCCCAATTTTTTTTAATTAAAAAGGAGTTCCATTGGTGACAATAAGATAAATTCAGTTACAGTTATGAATTTAAGTTGACAGCAACATATTGAAGTAAACATATTCTTCAATCATTAACAGATAAAGGACCAAAATGTAGAAAATATTGATTTGAGAGTCCACATGATCAGTATAGAGCTGATAGTACAAGTTCACTGTAGGAATAAAGATATCCAGAGAAAGTCTAGAAGGCCTTGCGGGACATGCAAAGAGGAAGCATCAAGCAAAGGAAACAGAATGAGTGTAAAGGAGATGATGGGTATGAGAGCAATCTGATAAAAAAAAATAATCCATGTTGGTGGAGTTGTGAACTGATCCAACCATTCTGGAGAGCAATTTGGAACTATGCCCAAAGGGCTACAAAAATGTGCATACCCTTTGACCCAGCAATACCACCTCTAGGTCTGTATCCCAAAGAGATCATAAAAATGGGTGAAGGACCCACATGTACAAAAATATTTATAGCAGCTCTTCTTTGTGGTGGCAAAGAATTGGAAACTGAGGAGATGTTCATCAGTTGGGGAATGGCTGAACAAGTTGTGGTATATGAATGTAATGGAATACTATTGTGCCATAAGAAATGATGAGCAGGTGGACTTCAGAAAAACCTGGAAAGACTTACATGAACCGATGCTGAGTGAAGTGAGCAGAACCAGGAGAACACTGTACACAGTAATAGCCACAATGTGAGAGGACTAACTTTGGCACTCATGATCTCTCAGCAATGCAAGGATCCAAGACAACCCCAAAAGACTCATGATGGAAAATGCTATTCACATCCAGAAAAAGAACTGGGGAGTCTGAAGGCAGATCGAAGTACATTATTTGATATTTTTTTTCTTTTGTTTGTTTTTTCTTTCTCGTGGTTTCTCCCCTTGGTTCTAATTCTTCTTTATAACATGACTAATGTGAGAATAGGTTCAATATGAATGTATATGTAGAGCCTATATCAGATTGCACATCATTTTGGGGTGGGGGAGGGGAGAGATGGGAAGAAAATCTGGAACTCAAAATCTCATGGAAGTGAATGTTGAAAAATAAATTTTAAAAAGAAAAATACTTCAATCAAAAAATTAATGCAATATTATATACAGGATATATTTTTTTATTAAGTATGGAGAAAAACCCAGACAGCAAGGGATAGAACCTTTTTTGCTGATCACTCTCCCCTCACAGACCATAATCACAGGCCTCAAGACTGTTCTGAAAATAGAGATGTAAGAAATTTTGAAGAGCTTTCTCTTCCATGAGGAGAGCCATTACTGTAGGATCCTTTTTCATGGCTGCTATCCAGAGCTTAAGTTTCAAAGTGTGGTCCACACAGCTAAGAGAATAGGTTAAAAAAAAAAAGTATTACTTGCATGAAATAGGAAGGCACCACAATTTTCATTTATTAGTGTCTTTACTTTGCAGCTTTTATTTTTTACTATAACCTTTAAAAAATACTTCCCCACCCTAAACAGAACATATTGTATCCCTGGCCACCCTCTCCAGTACTGGGAAATGTGGGAGAAGCAGTGTTTTTCTGCGGATTCTTTTTCAGGAATGAGTTAGACTAGATGAAGCCTGCAGTCCCTTCTGAGTCTGAAATTCTGTGTTTTTCTCATGCCCTCTGTAACACTGGGTTAGGAGGTGTGAGGAATGATTCATTTAGACCCCTACTCTATTCCAATCAGTATTAATCAGTTTAATATTTTGCATAAATCATATATGGATAATTAGATAAGATAGCTTCTTATAACAGGCCTTTATAGCAGGCCTCACACTTTAATCCAATATTCACCACTTGTTTACCAGTTATGAAGCTCACTTATGCAACCACAGGAATGCTGACAAAGACATCTCCATCCTGTTTTGCTCAGATTCCAAATCCAAACCCAGTATGGGTAGGATGCCTTAATTCTTTGGAAAGTCCCTCCAACTAATTTTTGTACCTCTGGACCACTCTCTATTGTCCCAGCAGGTGACCATCTTATAACCACTTAAGTCACTGGAGATGACTATTGCCTTGCTCATCTTATGAACAATGAAGTCAGTGGAGACAACCCATACTTCATCTAACCCATCACCCCATTGCTGATGAACCATTTTTTTGGCTGACGCACCATTTTTGGCCCTCGAAACAAGGTCTATCAACCAATGGGATTTTGTTATTGCTTCTCGAGTGTCCAGGTATCAAACCTGGTATCAATTCCTATAAAAACAAGGTGCTGGGAACCAGGGGTATCTCAGATTGTGAGGAAGATCTGAGGTTCACTTCTAGAGGGAGCCATGTACCCTTTAATAAAATGCTATTGGTTTGGAGTTCTGCCTCAGTGACTTTTCTTGCAGATTGGACAATTTTTGACCCTATAGTATACTCCTTCTTCCTTATTCTTATGTTCAAAATTTCACTTTCTCCCATCACTCAGCAAGCTTCTCCTTCTGGAGGTTCACTACATCCCTTTTGATTATCTGAGTCCAAACTTTGTCTTAATTATCTATAGACCACCAGATTATTCTACCTCCTTTCTTTTCAGCTCAGTAACTGTCTCACAGTCTTCCTTTGTAATCCAACTGCTGCCCTGGTGCTTGGGCATTTAAGCATATGCAACAATGTCCCCCCAAACACCCTGACCTTTCAGTTCTTCAGCCTCCTAAACTTCCATGACCTCTATTTTTATTCCATCTTGGCTGTGTGAACTTACACATAGTACATGCTTAATAAATGGCTATTGAGTTTAATTGAATTAGTAGATTTATATAGAATGTCAAAACCAGAAGGAACTTTACAATGCAGAAATTAAGATACAGAGAGATGAACTTATTTGTCCAAGGCCACATAACTAATTAGTGCCAGAGCCAAATGTCTATATGTCTAACATTCTTGGCATTAAGTTAAAAATTATTTTTAAAATATTAGAAACATATAATAAGACCACCCAGTATATTAAGTATAGCCCATCTTTAAAGGCCACATTATAGTAGTATAAATAAAAACAAACAATCCTCATGAAAACAGTTGAGAAGAAAGCTAAAATGACAATGTGCTGACTTTCACTTAGTCTTAGCAATCTGGGCTGTTTGGATAGGGTACTATGAAAAACTTGAATATTAAACATTATCAAAGGGGGAATGAACATATAGTCTTGCTTTGCAGAACTAAGCTGTTGTTCGTCCTTTGTTTTAGAAGAGGATTAATGAAATCGTGGGTTATGTTTTGACTTGCAAGTGGATTTAAGGAAGGTAAAGTTGGCATTATTCAGCCTCATCTGGGCCTGTAGCTTGTGATCACTGGAATATACTCTTGTATTTTTAACCAGGAGAATAAGAAGTTATTTTTAAAAGCTGACTTTACTTCCTAACACCCTAATCCTCCTCTTCATCATCCTCCCAAAAAGGATTTAATAATTTGGGATGAAATTATTTCAAAAACCATCCTGTATAAGACCAAGAAATTCACCACAAAATAGTAAACTCTCTTACTCTGCTATCCCATATGGTCCCAGACGTTCAAACCAGGGCCAAATGAGGTAATCAATCATGGATATAGTGTTCCCACCAAAGAAAGTTGTCTTCTGACGAGTAAGAACCTGAAAAGTTGGACAGACAAAAAATAAGTTCTTCTTTTTGTGCCCAATCAACTACTTAGAGACATCAGAGGCAATACTAATAAATTTAGTCCAGACCCTGCTTTTTATTGTATTCTTTGCCTAGTTGAGCCCTCTGACCTTAGGATTTGTTGACTGCTCAACTGGCCAGTCACATTGAAAGTAAACAATCCTTTGATTTCCAAATGGAGAAACCAGCCAACACCAATAGACAATAAAAGAACATGAAGTAACACTTGGTTTCATGCTGAGAAAAATGTTAAAATAACAGGAGTATATGTGTCTGAAATTTAAGAAGTTAAATGGGAGAGTGACTGCCAAATTTCTACCAAAATGAAGAGGGGAAAGGGGAACTGAGATAATTACCTAATTAAGAAAAGAAACACACATTGGCTCATGTGACTTGTATTTTTTTTTTAAACTAGATCTGTGACTTCACTGGTATTCCTGGTGAGGAATTTCCTCTATCAATGTTAATTAGTGCCTGCTGTACCACATAGAGTCTTAAAGAGTTGCCCAGGGCCAATGGAGTGCCAGCAAATGTTTAACAACCAGCTCTCCACAGGTTTAATCTGCATTATTAACATTTTCTCCATCACTTTCTTAAGTCTAGAGTAGATGATCAAAAATAAATAAATAAATAAATGAATAACGCCCTGGTTTAACACCAAAATTTGCTGGTTTCTGAAGTATAAATGCTCATATTGAAGACTTCTCTCCCAAACTGGTTCCAGCTGACTCCTCAGCTCCCTGCCTGAAATGGTAGGGCATTTGCCCAGCCCTACGTAGCCAGTATGTGCTAAAGGCCAGACTTGAACCCAGGTCTTTCTGACTCCTAGTTAAGTCTCAATATACTTTGATACACTGTATATTTAAGTATATTTACATTTGCCTAAATTTTTCACTTTAATTATGGGCTATCAGTTCTTCTCCTATGGCACCTATCTAGTCTGCAAGTCAACAAAGAGCATTTCCCAGGGAGCAGGGCAGAAGAATGTGGCATTGTTCAGGGCATAGGTAACCCAGACAGATGGACATTCCACTGTACATGGTATCTTAACTACACTGAAGGCTCTTAACTCATATCTTGAATGAATGAATGAAAAAGTCTTTATTAAATACCTACTATGTACCAGGCATTGTGCTAAGCACTAATGGACACAGAAATTTAAAAATTCTAATGGGACAAACAACATACATAAGAAAGAGGTGACCAGGGAAGGGAGTTTTGTTCT